ATAAGCTCTCAAACAACTTTGTAAAAGTAAAATACAGAGTAACTTATTTAAATAATGGAATAGTTTTAAAATCAACGTTTGAACTAAAAAATAACACACCATTGGCAAAAATGCCTAAGTTTTTTTAACAAATCGACAGGAATTCTTTTGAAAAATGTATGTGAAACTAGCTTTCGCATGCGACTCCGCGCGGAATTAAAAAAAAACAAATTCAAGTAGCCTAAGTGTGCTTCCAGACTATTTTCTACATCCATGCCAAATTTCAGCCGTTTAGGCTACAAACTCTAACAAACATCCATCCATCCATCTAAACTTTCGCATTTATAACATGAGTATGAAGTATGATATACGGCCGTTGCAAAAATAAAGGTTATGACACATTTGATATTACATTGAATCATAATGAAGTCATACTTATGGATGTCAAAACGTAGTAGCAATTCCGTACGCAGATCACGTTCGTCCTGACCTAGATAGGGTCTTTGTAAGAGGTATTAAGTAACATTTATTAGCTAATGTAATATGAGTACACACTTATACATTAATGGCTTTTTATCACAATGTTATAAAAAATTAAGATATGAATCTTAAAGTTAATGAAAACATATTAACCAAAAGCTCTGCATTCAAAGCTCTTTAATGATTTAACTAATATAAAGGCAAAAGTTAAGATGGATGGATGTTTATTAGAGTTTGCTGTCTACGGCTGAATGGATCTTGTTGAAATTTCGCACAGATGTAGACAAAAATCTAGAAAAACACATAGACTACGTATGTTTATTTCTTAATTCGAATAAGACGGTGTCGCGGGAGATAACTAGCATACAATACATCCAGGGCCAGCGTTAACCTAGTCACACGAAAGTTAGGGGTTAACTAAGTACCTGTAAACCTCAGAAGGGATTTAAATTGGCTGATATTACATTGATTATTTTAAACTTTTTAAGTGACGATGATTATTTGTATGTGAAAATTAAAAAGGTATAGGCTATGTTATATCAGAGAGTAAGTCAGTCTTTTACCTTGATAGAAGATAGATTATATTAATTTTTACACATCATTTACAGCTGTCACTTTATCTCGTCTCTCACGGTTTACACTTGAACTCGGCTTTCCCGGACACGACCCGAATAAATCAGCAAGCGACGTGATTATTTGATTTTAATTATATAATTGTACAGATTAGCGAAGTGTGTGACAAATGAGAGGTCAAACTAAAGTGGATAACAATTACTGAAAGTGAAGTTCGAAAATCTTAAAAAAAAAAAATTTGCATGGAATTTATTTACTATTGCAACATTAGAATTTTAAATGTACTTAATTATCCTTTTCAGAAACAATCACATGAGGCAAATTACTTAAAGCTTTATAACAAAAAAAATTCATTACGTAAACATACAAAGCTGTAAAATCTCAGTCGGTAAAACTTAATACGCTGACCAGATATAAAAGAAACAATAAAAGTAACGTTTACAGCGAAGTGCGTCGTAAAATTTTAAAGTTATTTGGACGTAAACATCGCAATACACAAACAGAGAAAGCTTTCGTTTGTAAAACAATCGTTTACACACGCTGTATAAAAAAAAATTTAATCACTTGTCCTAACATTTTATTGCATGTGGTTAAAACATCTTTACCGAAAGCGAAATGTACAATAACAAATTGATTACCTAATGTTAAATATGCAAACTAGTTAACTTTTGTTATAACATAATACAGCATAGTATCAAAATTAATTAAAAAATACATGAATTTATGCAAAACATGTAAAATAATCTTATTATCCAGTAGACTTGATGTGAGAAAGTCCAAATAACATTGGGTTATTCTATAATTTTATCGCTTTATTGACATTTTTAGTTAAAATATAGCCGCAGCAAATTAGCCGCAATAAATTACAAACACATTTTTTTAAATATTAACAGACTAGATCATTCTATAAAATAGTTAAAGCATGGACACCCTAATCGTCAAAGGATTTACGACTCATATAAAGTGTTTAGCGCAAGAAAGTCAAATCTTTTCACTTTTCACTGTCGACTATTATTATCGACATAAATGACAATTAATTTAAATTATTAGAGAAGCCGGTTCCCATCATTTTATATCCTTATCTCTTGACCTATGGCTACTTATTAACAGATAATAAAATTGATCTTATCAAACGTTTGGTAAAGTTAATTAAATACGAGCTGTTGCCCGCGACTTCGTCCGCGTGGTATTAGAAAACATACAAACTATATAAATTACAAAGAGTTACGTATCCCTCGGGAACCGGACATTTTTCGGGGATGAAGCTTACCCCAGATGTACTCTAGACTTTGTTTTATATCTGTGCCAAATTTCAATACGATATGTTGAACCGTTGCAGAATGATCGAGTAAACATTAAAAAGCTAAATTAATGAATCCCACGGGAACCGTAACTATTCCCGGAATAAAAAGTAGCCTATGTGTTCTTCCAGACTATGCTCTAAACCTGTGCCAAAATTCATAGAGATCCGTTCAGCCGTTTAAGCTGCAAACGCTAACAAACATCCATCCATCCATCCATCTATCCATCCATCCATCCATCCATCCATCTAAACTTTCGCATTTATAATATTAGTAAGAAGTAAGAAGTAAGATTGTCTTTAATTCATTTGTCAATTTTTTTTTTACTATTTAATATGCGCTTCAATTTTAATAATACTTAAATTTATACAAACTAGATGTGATCACTGTTAACACGAATTTAACAATCTCTTTTGAAGAATAATCTATTATTTTTATATTCAAACACACTATATTTCTACAATTCATACAATTTAGTGTACAATAGACTTGTTCCAATTCTTTGTATATTCGTATCTATTATCAAAGAGAATTTTATATTCTCGTTTCACGACTACGTTCAATTATTCAGAGGAAATTCGGAGCACCCTCATAAGTTACAAGGAAACATTACCATTGCCCTTAGATAAATAACATTAATTCAAACAAGATGTATCGCTATATCCCATACGGGACTTTCACTAGCAATTCATCCTAGCTTTGCTTGGATGGTAAAAAATATAAGATGTATTAAATTTTACTAAACTAAGCAAAGGAATGCATGTATAATACAATTATGCCAACAAAAATCGTTACTCTAAATTAAATAAGACGAATAATCCATAACAAAATTTATTTCCCTTACAATTTTGGATCCGATCCAAGTGTTAAAAGCTATGAAATTCTTTGAAATATTCCGTACGCTTCGAGCAATAAACGGAGCTAAACTTAATTCAGCTTTTATAGCGTTGAACGATAAGAGGCAGCGAAAGATTGAACTGTTAAATGTTTTCTTTGTTGCAAAATCGACAGTTTTATCTGGATACGTCATCAGTAGATAAGGCGTTAGGCGAAAGGGCCATAGGTTTGCGAATAATATGTTCTCATATGTTCATATACACTTTGAAGCACCCAAGGCGCTAATATTGATACTGAAATAAGGGAGACCATGTGTTTTTTTATTTAACGGGATAACTAGACATGTTATTCGCTAAGAGAACATGAATAAAGAAAAACAATAAACAATGTAAACAGTATTAAAAAAAGTAAAAAACTTAGAAATTAAATGCAATATATGCGGCTAGGGAGTCGGACAATCAAAGAATTTAATACTTAAATCACTTACAATGTTATCAAGCTTAGTATTAAGCTATTAAGCTATTACTAGAAATCTTTAAGATCGGAATGTTTAAGTAATAGTTGAACCACTCTGAGTATATAATTTAAATTAAGTTTGAAGGATACACTTCAAGGTAAAGAATATTAATCAGACACTTGACGTGAAAAAGCGATAAACAAGAACGTGAGAAAATACAACAAATAAATATATGTGCATAAGAAAAACTGCTTATGCAAAACTAAAGTCAACTTAAAGTACGTGATTAGTGATCAAAAGTAGGAAGAAAACAAATCGCAGACGAGACTTCAAATTTCGCATTGTTTCACACAAGGGTAGTACAGTGCTGCTACTGTACGTACAACGGCGAGACAGAATTTATTTAACATTAAAGTGAACCTCCATTGACATATTTCGTTAATATTGCTATTCCTCTCACACTCTTTGATTAAACAGAACAGTAGAGTGTTTACAAACGTCAACTTATTTGAAATTATAGGTAAATAGTCAAATTAATGCAGTACTGTATTGTGTACTATACTGTGTACTGCCCTTGTGTGAAACTAGCATAACTCGATTAACATATGTATTCAATTGTGTTTGCTTGTCACGTAGCAAATCCGCCCTCAGAATTATCCTTTATTACTGTCGCCTATAACGTGATTTAATTATTAAAGTAACCCTTATGTAGTAAATCTGATTTCCGTTCTAATTGAATTTAAAGCTTTTACTGAAACATGTCTTTGGTTAAGCTTATGTTTACATATTCATGTTAAATCTTACTTCTTACTAATATTATAAATGTGAAAGTTTAGACGGATGGAGGGATTACAGGTTGTAGTCTAAACGGCTGAACCGATTTCGATAAAATTTGGTACAGATGTAGAGGATAGTCTGGAAGAGCACATAAGTTACTTACTTTTGTTTTTTTTTTTTTAATTCCACGCGTACGAAGTCGCGGGCGAAAGCTAGTATGATAAAGCTCTAACTTATCAAGAATCTAAAACATTTGAGTTGTCATTTCCTTCCATCAAACTTAAGTCACAAAGAAGAACCCTTTAAAGGTAAGTTTTAAATCTAAAAAGTAATTGTGTTAAAATTAACTCAAGATTTGTAATAATGATAATCTACATAATGCTACATTACAGCATTTTTTGACACTATCTTTGTTAAAATTTTAATTATTTAACCAAAATTTGTGATTGAAATGAGAAGTTGGCGATCTTTTGCAAAGAACTACATTTGTTCGAGCGGTGTAATTAAAATATATCCCTTACTAAGATATACAATACAAGTCGTCTACGATTTGTTCTCGATTGGTTAGTGAATAAAGTGCAAAGAAGAATGCTCACTGTAGTATTGCTCACCGATGGCGGCGCGGGGCGCGGCGCGGCGGGGGGCCGCCGACAGCGCCAGTAGCGCTACCGTACACCACCATTTCATCACAACCACACCTGTAATACACACTCATATTAATACAAGGTTTCTGAAGTTTCCCTTTATCGTTACCTAGTCTACACTTTGATCTTAGCGAAAAGGCCGTGAAGCGATAGAGTGTCGGTGGCTCAGTGGTTTAAGCATTTGATGTGTAATCTACAGGTCTCTTGGGTTCGGATCCCGCCATATACAAATGTGATTTTCGATTTTTTGAATTTCCGTATGTAAATAATTTACCCGACGTTCTTACGGTGAAAGAAAAACATCGTGATGTTACCTGCACGTATAGACAAAGATATTTAAAAATATGTGTGAAGTCAACCAACCCGCACTGGGCCAGCGGGGTTGACTATGGCCTAGTCACTCCTAACTTAGGGTAGGCTCCGAGCCCCTCGGTGGGGACATATAGTGAGCTAGTGATGATGATGTTACCTAGTCATTCATGGCCGATTTCTTAAACGGATTTCAAACACTTCACTTAAGTGCTTATAATACGTTAGACGTCAAAATGTTAATGGAATTTAGAGTTTGTGGTCTTATCATTTATTAAGCTTCAGTATTTAAATGGCGATTCAGTATTTCCCCGTAAGCTTAGTTACATCAATAATAAAGATTCATCAAAGTAAACTTGGGTAACTAGAAACGTTTTCTCAGTAAATTACTTTCCCAAATGAAATCCGGCACCTTCCGCTCCTGGCCTCAGATTTGCCGAGAATGGCAATTACCTATTGAAAGACGAACTTCGATGTGAGGTTTATTTTCGATTTGATCTTACTGCGGGAACGTATTAAGGCTTTATTGCTGTTAATCTTGATTTAATTACGTCGATACTTGATCATTACAGTCAGTACTCATTATTAAATAGTTATTTAACGAGTTCCTTAGTATAGATATTGATTATAAAATCTACACTAAGGAAACTTAACGGACGTTTACCGACTCCGTGTGGTAGTTAGTCAAATCGCGTGCTTATAATTGACTAGCTGTTCCCGTGTGGCTTCATCCGCGTGAAATTATAAAAATCTTTATTTGATAATTTACATTTGTCAAATTCTCAATTGCAAATGTCAAAATTTTAATGCTCAAATAACAACGAAGGTCTTAGAAATTTGATATTAAATACTGTAGCTTGTAATTTATGGTCACTGTCCTAAGTGAAGTTTTTTTCCAATTATTTACCCCTAAGTTTAATAGTCTGAAAATAGCCTAAAGCGTCGTAAGTGTAGGGCTTTTTATTAAAGAGAGAATTCAAAAATATGGCGTGATTTCTGACATCCTACGCCACAGAGTAGTGTGTGTTACGCTTTGTTATAATAGAATAGATTTGCACTACAAATAAATTCAAAGAGGCAACGTCGGCTTTATCGTATTGGCACGGTTTAGTTCGAACCAGTTATTAAGGTTTATGTTGATGACTGCAATCGTAAATAAACTGAGCATTTACACATTATCACTTACCTGTCCATTAAACGCTTATTATGCACACGAGGGTAGCGACGCAGAGCAGTCACTTCACTATAATAACAGTATTATTTTCACAATACGTGCACATTCAATCCATAGGCGTACTGTGCTATCTACTGCTCTGTTCTATCCTCGTGTGTAAGGTATTACGGATGATTAATGTAAGCGAAGCGAATGTAAGATACGATCAATATAGATCAAAGTGCATTAAGCTTTTAAATGGGCAATGGAAATATTTTGCTAGATTAAAGAAATAGTCGGTTCTTGTTTGCCACAGCTAAGGTAATATGAAACATAAGACAGTCTTATCACGATTAAAGTTATTTGAGTTTTTTTAAATAGACTAGCGGTCGGTCCGACTTCGCTCAGACAAATATTCGTTTTTAAACATTTTATAACAGTATTAACTATGATTTATCTCTGCGCAATATAGCTAATTTACGTAGGGTTAATGGAGTGTTCAATTGGTAAAAGAATTCTAGAAATAAGGCCAACAGTTTTTGAGTTCATTCGTAACAAAAAAAAAAGATTTTTCGTATTCAGATCACAAAATAATCTCTTCTATGTAATCTGAAACTTTCATATGATTTTTTTTAACAATAAAGTAATGCATTGCATGCCAACAATAACCAACCAACCCTTAGAGTTAGTGGGGTTAACTGTATCCATAACCTAGCGTAGATTCCAAGCCTCTCAGAGACGTATTTACTGATGATTACAATTAAATAAACAAACTGATCTCAATGAATATGTAAACGAATTACAGTCAATCCACATTCATAATCGAGAATTCTAAACAATGCACTATGAAATCTCCTGTTGAATTTTTCGCTGTTCCAGTTTTCCTATCAGATTGTCGTACTAGTTTAGTAGGACGCAGCGATAACCGAAACCAGCAGTGTTGCCAACGTAAGCGATAAAAGCAGTACTGCCAACATAGCAAGCGCTTTATGGTAATAAACGGAAACAATTGTAAATCACTTTTTATTACCGGACAAATGAGTTACTTATTATATTATCTGTATTTAATTTTATGATCACTTGTTTAAAAAGTGTATTTTTTTATTTCCCTAATAATTATTATTTAGGAAGTCAGTTTATAATAAAGATGGGTCTATAATACTTTATGCTCATATTAATTATAAATGCGAAAGTTTAGATGGATGTTTGATAAAGTTTGTAGCCTTAACGGTTGAACGGATTTCGATGAAATTTGGTAGTTGAGGATAGTCTGAAAAAACACATACTTACTTTTGTTTTTTTTTCCACGCAAACGAAGTCTCAGGCGAAAGCTTAGTTGCATATCTATATAAGTGAAAGCAAATGAATATTTCTAAATTTACTTTGAGTTTTACTTATTGTAGAATCTAAAAATGTTTAAGATTAAATAAAAAAATTGCGTCATTAAATATCTTACGATCTGTGAGATGATAAACCGCAAAACATCAGAATGTCAAAAGAAATATGAACGTTTTCAATCTTAAAACAGTTTCCCTATTATATTACAACGACATTTCTGGTAGATTGCTTTAGAAAATTGTTTTCAGACTCAATCCAAGGAGTTCCAGCTTCGAAGTAACGCTTGGGTAATCCAGGCGACGGGAAATTGAATGGAATTTTAAAACTTAAAGTCGTGTCTATTTTCTCTTACGTTCCAATTATTTTATTCCTTGCTGTAACAATTTGTAACATACTAGTTGTTGCTCGCGATTTAGTTTGCGTTAAACTTAAAAAATAATAAAAATATTTTCTATGTTAGTCACTGATTTTGCTTTTTAATGATGAAAAAAATATAAAAGTTATTTCAATACATACAAAAAAATCGATGACCAGACAAATAATGCGTATGTTAAGTTAAAATTTAATATAATATCATTAACTAAAAAGACGAACAAAGGGACTATCATAAACAGTCGAGTATTCGTAATCAATAAGAAAATTTGTAAACATTAGACGGTGTACTTTACGCGCTGCACAAATATCTTACAAATTTTGTCGATAACATTACGAAATCGTTCTCACGAATATTGATAATAAGCCGTCCGTAACAATAAGTAAGAAGTAGGAACAACTAACACATTCATTAGTGTCAGTAAGACACGTTTTTACAGCACCTGATTGAAGAACATTCTCATGACTCAATTGAAGTATACTGTGGCACTGGGTGACAATACGGTTCCTCGATTAATTGATATAGATGATTAATTAATTTTCTTTTTAATTAATTAGTAAGAAAAAGGTACGTGGAGTATTAACGTGATCATAATCAGTCCAGGACCGTTATCTCCTAACAATTCAAGAAACTCCAATTAACGCTTACAATGAAATTCGATGTCATGAACAAGCCAGCAGTTGGCCAGCGACAGGTATATGCTAACACTATATCTATCTATCTATCTTCTATTGTAATAAAGCGTAAACACACACTACTTTGTTGCCTAAGATGTCAGCAATTACAGCATATTCTTGAATAATTCCTCTTTTAATAAAAAGCCCTGCAAAACGTCACGCTTTAGGCTATATATTTTCACGCCATTAAACTTAGGGGGTAAATATTTTGGACAAAAACCCTAATGTGGGAAATAGACCATTAGTTGCTGCCAACATCAAGAAAGAAAGATTGCTAAGGTTTGTCATGTCGTGTCATTTTGACATTTGATAATTTAACAATTGTAACCAATAAAATAATTTTTTCATAATTTCATGCGGATGAAGCCGCACGGGAACAGCTAGTAATGTATAAAATAACCGATAATTAACTATTAAATTCTATTCAACTAGTTTAACAGACAACCATAAGACACAAAGTACCTTTTGACAGACGCTCACGCTTGTCTATGCGATTGGTTACGATTCGCGCAAGCTAATTGCACGACGCGGCCCATCATTACTACAAGACCATCGATCAAGTGAAAACATACTTTCGTTCATTGGAAAATATGCAATCGAATTAGCGTTGCGTTTTCATTAGACGTTACTAGCCTTTTATTGAAACTGTAGATACAATATTTTTCTTGATAGACAGGACTGTTATGTTTTTAATGTGCATATTTTACTTCCTGCTTAACATCTTAACTGATTTGAAAAAGTGATGTGATAATGATTTATTATGAAAGATTTAATACATTACGATTACAGTAATTCTGAATATTTTTAATTAATGGCCGGTTTCGCAGTTACTTTTATAATTCGTTAGTGTTTATGGTCTAACTTCTTAAAATGCGTTTCCAAACTTTGTAATTCGAGTTTCATCCCTTTGAAATGTAGTTCAACCTAAAACTTATGAAGACGTAATTTATCTATACATATAATAAAATTGGTGTGTCTGTTTGTAATATCAAAAGAAAAAATCCACATTTCGGGAAGGTGATGTATTTGCGTTGCTGATAACGGCATTTAAAAAAAATTGTCTGTCTGTCTGTAAGCCGCGTTTGTTCCGGGCAACCTCCGAAACGGCTGAGCCGATTTCGACCTGACTTTCACTGAAGTGTAGCTGACGTAGACGGACATATTATAGGCTACTTTTTTATCTTAATATTGTGTGGACGAAGTC